TCCGGGGGGGGGGGGGGGTGTGGGGTGGAGGGGGTAAATGGGGAAAAAAGGGAAGGGGCATCTGCAATACTTTCAAAGTAAAGATACATCTTTTTAAAACTATTAAGTATTTTGTATAAGTTAAATTCACATCCAAAATCAGCTTAAAATAGTATCATTAGAATGGAGTGAAACTTGAAAATTCCTAAGTTATTGGCTCCTTCATGGCAATTTTTTTCTATTTTTAGACAAGTTTTTTCACATGACGAAGCGCCAGTGCAACGAAAGTCTGGACATGTACATCAAGTTCCTTGCAGGAACAACCAAATTTGAACAGTTCCTGAAGGTTGCAGAGGTATACAACTCTTTCTATCCAAGGCTTTTCTATTTTCTATATTAGTTTAATATCCAACATAACTTTCCCCCCTCTACCACCACCACCACCACACAAACACACAGAAATTCGTATTAGTTTTAACTGTTTTGTAAACAGTAAAACTAAAAAAGACCTAACATTAAGTACCTCAAATGTACTATCCAAATGCTCTTGTGCACAAAAGTAATCTTACAAGGATTTCTTTAAAAAAATTATATATATACTGATTTCAGAGAAGAGGGGAGTGGGATAGAGAGAGAGAAACATCAATGATGAGAATCATCAATCATGAGAATCATATATATATATAATGTGTACTTTTCCCCCTTTATGTGAATTCAGCAAGTTGGAATCGACCAGAACAACATTCCATATCTTGCTCAGGTCAGTGTATCTCTCCTATGTATTTAAATGACTTCTCCATCTTTATGTTTGTGTGTTTGTTATGTTAATCATAATCTGAGACTCCATCCTTTGCCATCCTATATAATAGTAGAGGAATATGCAAATTAGCCAGGACGCCGTAATGTCACGACCAAACAGTAGGAACCTGAGGCTGCAGGGCGCCTGGCCAGGGTGAGGGACCTCAGGCCACGGCCCCCGCCCCAGCACTGGGCCGGAAGACCTCAGGCCATGCCCCCTTCCCTGGCACTGGGCTGGGAGACCTTAGGCCAGTGGTTCTCAACCTTCCTAATGCCGCAACCCTTTAATATAGTTCCTCATGTTGTGGTGACCCCCAACCATAAAATTATTTTCGTTGCTACTTCATAACTGTAATGTTGCTATTGTTATGAATCGTAATGTAAATATCTGATATGCAGGATGTATTTAGGTGACCCCTGTGAAAGGGTCGTTCGATCCCCAAAGGGGTCGTGACCCACAGGTTGAGAACCGCTGCCTTAGGCCATGCCCCCCACCCCAGTGCTGGGCTAGGGGACCTCAGGCTGTGCCCTCTGCCTGGCAAGGCTTGATGGGGGACCTCAGGCCACGGCCTCCGCCCCAGTGCCAGGCTGTGGGACCTGAGGCCACACCCCCCGCCCAGCAGGGCTTGACAGGGGACCTCAGGCCATGCCTCCCCTGCCCCAGTGCCGGGTCGGGGGACCTCAGGCTGTGACCCCCGCCTGGTGGGGCTTGACAGGGGACTTGAGACTGCACCCCCCACCCAGCACCGGGCTGGGGGACCTGAAGCTGTGTCCCCCACCTGAAGGGGCTTGATGCGGGGGGGCCGGCCGGGTCTGGGTCTCACCCAATGAGGGTGGGGCTGGCCAGGTCTGGGTCTCCTGCGTTTTCGAAGTGCGTATAGGTGGTGGGTGGGGACTTGACTCTAGGTCCCGCGGTGTACCCCAGACTCTGACAGGAGGGATATTTTCATATACATTTTACTAATTTTCTTTCATCTCTGACACTTCTATTATAGAAAAAGGGCAAATAGCAATATTAAAATATTTCCTCTAATTAATTCCCTTTTAATGTGCACGAATTTCGTGCTCCGGGCCACTAGTATACCTATATGTGTGTTTTCATTTCCCCATGAATAACATATGTATATACTAGCAATTTTCAGCCTTTTTAATCTCATGGCACACATAAACTAATTACTAAAATTCTGTGGCACACCAAAAAATATATTATATTTTTGGTTGATCTGACAAAAAAAAGGTATAATTTTGATTCATTCACATCGGATGGCTATTGCTGTGTTGGCTGTTGTTATTTTTTTAAATTTGACAATCCAAGGGAAAAGAAGTCAGTGCTCCAAACAAAACAGTCAGGTATTGGCATGTTTTAAAAATTGTGGCACACCAGTTGAAAATCACTGGTATATACACATAGACTTAGGTCTTCTGAATAGGTCTGTGAGCTGTTGGTCTTATAAAGAGGCTGTTCCCTGTTGAGTGCTAAATGGTGACTCATAGTATAACAACTAAACTATGTGTTTTTTTTGTTGTTAATCCTCACCCAACGACATTTATCATTGACTAGAAGCCCAGTACATGAAATTCGTGCACTTGCGGGGAGGTCCCTTAGCCCGGCCTGCGCCCTCTTGCAATCCGGGAGGCCTCGGGGGATGTCCGACTGCTGGCTTAGGTCTGCTTGTGGCTGAGCGGCGCTCCCCTTGTGGTTAATAATAAACATACAAAGAGATAAACCTATAATTTCAGTAAAGGTAAATGCTGTGAAGAAAAATCAAACATAGTGAGGGTAAAGAGACTTGGTAAGTACTGTTCTATATAGAATTGTCAAGGAAATCTCTGTTGAGGGGGTAACATTCCAGCAGAGGCCAGAAACTGCGATTGAATTTGCTAATATTAGTGAGATCCTCTCTTTTTTTTTTCCTTTCTCTAGCTCTCAGTTTCTTTCTCTCCCCTTCACCCTCTTTTCCTTAATGTTATACTTAAATATATTTTATGATCTGGTGATTCATGAAGGAACCACAAATAATAAATGATTTCAAGCCCAATGTCTTCTCCAAAGGGGATAGATATTTTAGCAGTTTGATCATTTAAAAAAAATTTATTAATTTTTTACAGAGAGGAAGGGAGAAGGATAGAGAGTTAGAAACATCGATGAGAGAGAAACATCGATCAGCTGCCTCCTGCACACCCTCTACTGGGGATGTGCCCGCAACCAAGGTACATACATGTCCTTGACCGGAATTGAACCCGGGACCCTTCAGTCCACAGGCCGATGCTCTGTCCACTGAGCCAAACTGGTTAGGGCAGTTCTTTGATCATTTTAAGAAGCTTTTTTTTCCCTGTTGTTTTTAAAAAATGTACCTAAAAGCAGTTTGAAAATCTGATTTGCTAACAAGAGATCACTTTTTAAAAACTATACTTTTATTGATTTCAGAGAGGAAGGGACAGGGAGAGAGAGATGGAAACATCAACGATGAGAGAGAATCATCGATTGGCTGCCTCCTGCATACCTCCTACTGTGTATTGAGCCCACAACCTGGCATGTGCCCTGACTGAGAATCGAACTGTGAACTTCTGGTTCATAGGTCAATGCTCAACTACTGAGCCACACCAGCTGGGCCCAAGAGGTCACTTTTAATAATGAATTTACTTATAGCAATTCATTAGCTTTAATGAATTTGCTGCACAGGTGTCCTAATTTTTCTTCAAAACCTTTTAATGATATAGGAGAGTATGAATTTGCTAAAAAAAAACAACTATCAGTAAATAACTCTTTCATAATAACTTCCTTTTTAGGCACCCAACAGTTTACTTGAAGCACTAAAACAGCACTTAGCTTCATTGGAAGAGAAAAATGAAGTTTTTCCTCCTTACAGGTAAGTTAATAAATGTCTCAGTATAGGTTAATTTTGTTTTCCTCTAAATAATTTCCCTCATTTTAACAACATGAGAGTGACTAAATAAATTATGGGCTTTGAATATGATGGAATATTATGCAGTGATTTTAAGTTATAATACAGAATAGCGTTTTTCAGTCTTTTGTGGGATTCCATCCTCTTCACAAGGGTGATTGCTTCCCAAAGGAATGTCTTTTATTACACTGAGTGATTCTCAAAGTCAGAGGTTGGGACTGGATTAGCCACCTCTTTTGAATAATTTGATTTCCTCCCTTAAGGGTTTCCCTAGTGAGAATAACTGTTATAGACAATTATTTAATGGTATAGCAAACTGTTTATCCATAAAACAGTATTCATAATAACATTCAAGGCATATATGCATATATACACATACACATACGTGTACTCCTCTATATATGCATATACATACGCATCGAATAATACAGATTTTCGGTATACCACTTGGAACTGTTCCCATGAGCTATTTCTGAGTGGAAAATTCTGGTTGATTTCAATTTTCTTTTTTGTACTTTTCAGTATTGTCCAAAATTTCTGTAAGGGTCATGCATTATGCATTCATTCCTCTTTAGGTTATGTTGATTGTAATTGATTTATATTACCACCTTCTATTAGACAACAGGTCTGTTGACTATTTCTTAATTATCTCTTCATCACAGATAGATGTATAGTTAGTATACGGTTGGATGGATTGATTGATAGACGAATGGATAGATGGATGAATTAAAGAAATTAGATTCAGTTGGGTAGTTTATACTGTATGTCATTCTATTTATTCTCATGTGCCTCATCTTTCTTGTGATCTCTTAAGTCTCCAGCACTCATTGATTCACTCCATCTCAAAGAATTCAATTATGAAAGTTTCATCAAGGCAAAATTGGTTTTCAGGTAATATAGTGTATGATTATGTAATATAATATGATTATATTGTATGAGTGTCAGTAATAATTGAGGACAGGATTAGAATCTTTAATTTTTCCACTGCATAATCACCTACTAGGTCTGCTGCCTCTTTGATCTAGCAATTTCACTTCTAGGAACTTATCTAATATTAATCTATATATTTATCACATATATATATTCAGAGTTTTGAAATGTTGAATGAACAAGGATATCCATTGCAGCATTGTAATAGCAAAATGACTATGAATAAGGGCCTTGTTTTTATGTACTGAAATGGAATGATATCCAAGATTTATTGTTAAATGGAATATGAGCAAAATGTGAAACAAAGTATAGTATGCTACCATCTTTGTTTTTTAAAACAGAAAGAGAATATATGTTTATCATTTCTATATACAATAAATGAATAAAATACCCTTTCTCCAAGCAGAACTTAGTGGCTCAAGGTAAGAGATGGGTGAAAGAGTCTTCACTGTATACCATTTTGTAATTTTTGAATTTTGTACATGCAAATGATTACTAATTAAAATAAAAATTTTGCAAAGAAACACATAAATACATACATACAGTGTGATATATTGTAATTTCCTTCTAAAAATATTTTTATTGATTTCAGAGAGGAAGGGAGAGTGAGAAAGAGATAGAAACACCAATGATGAGAGAGAATCATTGATCGGCTGCCTCCTGCATGCCCCCTTACTGGGTATCAAGCCCGCAACCTGGGCATATGCCCTTGACCGAAATCAAACCTGGGACCCTTCAGTCCGCAGACTGATGCTCTATCCACTGAGCAAAACCGGCTAAGGCATACCGTAACTTCTTAAGTCTAGTTTGCTTTATAATTTACTGGTGTGCTAGATACAGCTCATACCAGCTTACAAGAGCCCATTGGTAAAATTTCACGAATTTTGCAAGCTGTTTGATGTCCCATTAGTCACTTGAAATTGGCCATGATAGAAATATTTACACCACAGGAATAGACAAACACTACAAAACAGGCCTTTTTTCTGGAGAGCTTGTTGCTATACATTTACTCATATGACTGCTCATAATCAACCATATTCTATTTTTTTTTAAATTTTGTTTTATTGCTTAAAATATTACAAAGAGTGGTCCATATGTCTCTCTCTTTTTTTTCCCCTTGACCTTCCCCTAGCCTCCCCTACCCCCAGTGTCTTGTGTCCATTGGTTATGCTTCTATGCATGCATACAAGTCCTTTGGTTGATCTCTTACCCCCCCTCCCCCACCCAACCCTCCCCAGCCTTCCTGCTGTAGTTTGACAGTCTGTTCGATGCTGCTCTGCCTCTGTATCTATTTTTGTTCATCAGTTTATAATGGTCTTTATTATCCATAAATGAGTGAGATCATGTGGTATTTTTCTTTCATTGACTGGCTTATTTCACTTAGCATAATGCTCTCCAGTTCCATCCATGCTGTTGCAAATGGTAAGAATTCCTTCTTTTTTACAGCAGCATAGTATTCCATCATGTAGATGTACCACAGTTTTCTAATCCATTCATCTACTGATGGGCACTTAGGCTGTTTCCAAATCTTAGCTATGGTGAATTGTGCTGCTATGAACATAGGGGTGCATATATCCTTTCTGATTGGTGTTTTTGGTTTCTTGGGATATATTCCTAGAAGTGGGATCACAGGGTCAAATGGGAGTTCCATTTCCAGTTTTTTGAGGAAACTCCATACTGTCTTCCATAGTGGCTGCACCAGTCTGCATTCCCACCAGCAGTGCACGAGTGTTCCTTTTTCTCCACATCCTCTCCAGCACTTGTCGTTTGTTGATTTGTTGATGATAGCCATTCTGACAGGTGTGAGATGGTACATATTTTATTTTTTAATAGGTGATTGTATTTCAATAATGTTACTTGATCCTTTAGACACAAATCCATGTAATAATGAGCTATATTATCATAGGGTTTATATGCATCTGAATTATAGTTCTTAATTTAATGCAAATATTTAAACTGTATCTATTTTAAATGTTTTTCTTTTTCTTTTGTGCATATTCTCAATGGATACACCTGAAATTTCAATGGTGAGTTTAACCCAAACTATGATGAATGTAAGTCCTTTGAGTCAAACCACATATATAGCAAAAACTATATATTTGCGTCATTTCCAAAAGAATGACTATTTTTCTGAGTCCCTATGGTTTGGGAATCATTAGTGTTTACAGCAGATATTGTAAACATAGTGGTTAACAAGCTGTGGATTCAGTCTGCTGTGGATGTGAATCCCAAGTAGAGTAAAGGGGGAGTAGGGGAGCTACTCCCACGCTATTATAAAGACCTACTAGAGGCCCAGTGCATAGAATTTGTGCACGGGGGGAGGTTCCCTCAGCCCAGCCCTCACCCTCTCCAATCGGGGACCCCTTGGGGGATGTCCAACTGCCGGTTTAGGCCCAACCCCTGTGGGATCAGGCCTAAACTGGCAGTCAGACATCCTTCTCGCAATCTGGGATCACTGGTTCCTAACCGCTCACCTGCCTGCCTGCCTGATTGCCCTTAACCACTCTGCCTGATTGCCCCTAACCACCTCTGCCTGCCTGCTTGATCACCCCTAATTGCTCCCCTGCTGGCCTGGTTGCCCCCAACTGCCCTCCCCACCAGCCTGGTAGCCCCCAACTGCCCACCCCTGCCGGCCTGATTGCCCCTAACTGCCTCTGCCTTGGCCTCCACCGCCATGGCTTTGTCCAGAAGGAAGTCAGACATCTGGAAGATGGTCAGTTGACCCGGTCTAATTAGCATATTGCCCTTTTATTAGTATAGATGGGCCTGATTACCAACCGACCCAAACTGGTGATCTCCACACATGCTACCCTGAGCATTTGGCCCCGGTTGCTTAACACTCATTGCTTGAACTAGTTCTGTTGAAAATTGTGTGGCTAGCTGAAACCATGTTTTCTCTCTTTTTAAAAAAAATAGATTTTTATTGATTTCAGAGAGAAAGGGAGAGGGAGAGAGGGATAGGAACATTAATGATGAGAGAGACTCATTGATCGGCTGCCTCCTGCACACCCCACACTGGGGATCGAGCCCGCAACTTGAGCATATGCCCACTTACTAAGAAAGGTGTGTTAATAGTTCCCCTATTTGCTTTTGACTTACTTTAAGTACTTTAAATAGTTAGGGAATACAAATCAGGCTTTTGTACCCACCAAACCACTAAAATGGTTCTTGTCAAAGTCACTAGTGACATTCATATTGCAAAATCCAATGGTAATTTCTCAGTTTTCATCTTACTGGGATGCCTCAACAGCATTGGACATAATTCATCACTTCCTCATCTTTGATACACGTTCTTCAGTTTGCCTCTTGGTTTTCTTATCAGACTCTTGGCTTCTTTTTATAAAGATTTTTTTTCCCACGGATTCATCCTTGTTTCTCTTTATCTATAATTTACTCATTTCCTAGATGACCTTATCCAGGCTCATGACCTTAAGTACCATTCACATGGTAAGAACTCCCTAATTAGTATCTCCAGCTACAGCCATTCCTCCTGAATTCCAGAACTGTATTTCTTTCTTTTTTTTTAAACATATTTTATTGATTTTTTTACAGAGAGGAAGAGAGAGGGATAGAGAGTTAGAAACATCGATGAGAGAGAAATATCGATCAGCTGCCTCCTACACACCTGCTACTGGGAATGTGCCCGCAACTAAGGTACATGCCCTTGACCGGAATCGAACCTGGGACCTTTCAGTCCGCAGGCCAACGCTCTATCCACTGAGCCAAACCGGTTAGGGCTTCTTTCTTTTTTAAATACCATTATTGATTCCAGAGAGGAAGGAAGAGGGAGAGAGAGATAGAAACATCAATTTTGAGAGAAAAATCATTGATCAGCTGCCTCCTGCACGCCCCACATTGAGGATTGAGCCTGAAACCCGAACCATGACCTTCTGGTTCATAGATCAACACTCAACCACTGAGCCATGCCGGCTGGGCCAGAATTGTATTTCTTCAATGGTTTCACTTGAATGTGTGACAGGGGTTCAAAATTCAATATGTCCCAAACTAACCTCCTGGTACCCTACCCCAAACTTGCTTTTTCCATGGGTTTTTCCATCTCAGTTAATGACAAATTAACTCCTTTGATCATTCTGATTCTAGATATATTGGCCTCTTCACTATTCTTTAAACACACTAACCACTCTGCTTCCCTTGGAGCCTTTGTTCATGCTGTTCCTTCTGCTGGATTTACACGGTTCAGTCTTTCACATCCTTCGGTTCTTTACTTAAAATTCCCTTCTCAGTGAGACTTTCCTATCTGAAATTTAAGTATTCCACCTGGCCAATGTGGCTCAGTGGTTGAACATTGACCTCTAAACCAGTAGGTCACGGTTCGATTCCCAGTCAGGGCACATTCCCTGGGTTGCAGGCTCGATCCCCAGTGGAGGCATGCAGGAGGCAGCTGATTAGTGATTCTCTCTCATCATTGATGTTTGTCTCTCTCCATCTCCCTTCCTCTTTGAAATCAATAAAAATATATTTAAAAAATAAAATTTAAGTATCCCCACCCTCCAGCACATATCATACCCCTTTCCCTGATATTTTTTCTTTTGCATTTATCACACTCTAACATAGTATGTGCTTTATTTGTCTTGGTTATTTTCTGTCTCCAATAGAATGAAAACTACACCAAGACAGGGATTTTTATCTTTTTTACTCACTGCTGTATCTTTACCACCTAGTTAGTACAGGGTCTGGCAGATAAGAGATGCTAAATTAAAATGTATTTAATGAATAATTTAACATGACTTTATTTTTATACTCACTAACCTAATAATTTGAGGTCCTGTTAGTTTGTAATGGAAAGGTACATATAAGTAATTAGTGTATATTGATATAAATTTGCTTTAGAGTTTCACCTAATTTCTGTCTTTTATTTTCAGGTTATTTTGTCTACATGATATGTTACAACCGATATTACCATCATAAGGTCACAAACCTATGAAAGCCAGACAACGTCATGGAGCAAGCACAGAAAACAATCTGGATGACTCATTTGCTAGCCTTGTAGAAAGTACACGTGAATTAACTAATTAATATTTTTACATGTATATATATATTATTTTAAAGTACATTTTAAGAAAAAGTATTCAAAAAAAAATAATGTAAGATTTGTGTTTGTTTTGTAAAACAGATTTTAAACTTGAAGAAATCCCAGTCAACAAGTAAGTTTTTATTTAAAAAAAGATAGCCAATAAGTATGTGTGAGAGGAAGGCACGCATGAGAGTAACAATTAGAAAAATAGTTATTTTTGATTTAGATACAGGAATAATTTGTTATAAAACTCTATAGTATGTGAGTTTTTACTTAAAGTAGGAAATTTATTGGTTATATACTAACCCAATTTTTGTAGGTAAAGTTCTTGGTTAAAGTATTCTGTATTGCGTGGTTCTCCTTCTACCCCTCTGACAATCCCTTTATGGTTCATGTAAGGGATCTTCTTTTTCTAATTATGTCTTTAATATTGGCATTCCTCATAGTTCTTTGTATTTTTGGTTCTTTTCTTACTTTATTATATAGACTGTATTGAATCAGTAATACTCATATTTTATTTTATAAACAAAGACAATAAAACTACCAGATTAGCATCACATGATAATCAACATTATTTCATTGAGTTAATAGCTACATTTTCAGCACCCCCAGCAGACAAATGGATACCAAAGGAAGGCAGGAAAAAATAGTAACAATATTAATAATGTGGATTGTAAGGTTAAAAGCACTAACAGAATAAAGAGGGATATCATTTAATGATAAAAGGCACTATCTATGGGGCTAGAAGTTTTAATAGCGTATACACAAAGCTAAATACATAAAGCTGAAATTATTAGAAATACATGGAGAAGGATGCAGTGGTAATGGGTGATTGCAAACCACCTCATTCATTATTGGACAGATCAAATAGACAAAACACAAGTAAGGACACAGAAGAACTTGAATAATACATAGTAAGTAAATAATAAACTTACTTGTGCACACACACAGAAACGCAGAATGTTCATTTTCTTCCAAGCATTCACAAAGAAAAGCTTAACTAAACACTCAACAGTTTTACAGGCTACATTTTCTCATAATCCAATCAAATTAGAAATAATAAATAGTTACCATGACAATCTTAACTACTAATAAATTTTAAAATATAATCCTTTTGCCAAAGAGGAAGCCAAAAGAAAGTTATCAACTATGTAGAGGCAATGAAAAAGAGTACTCTATACCAAAGCTAATGGACCACTGTGAAAGATAAACTCAGAAGAAAATTTTATCATTGTTCAAAAAAGAGAAATTAACAATAATATAGTTTTTATAGTAAGAAAATAGATATAAAATAAATATGTATTAGGATGATAACATTTATAAAAATAAAATCTTAAATTTATAAAATTGCAAACAAAAACTAATAAACCTAAAACATTTCTTTGTAAGGTTCAATAAAATGAACTCCTCTGATTAAACAGAAAGAGAATGTAAAAGTCTATAACATAAGGAATAAGAGAGCTGATGTAGGAGAGATTAAAATATAATTGAATACTCTGCAGCTGTTTGGCAACAACATAGTTGAAAATCTAGAGAAAATTGATGATTTCCAAGCAAAATAGAAATGACAAATTCATCTGAGAAGAAGCAGAAGCATACAGACAGCAATCATCATATAAGTTTTTGAAGAAGGTATTGAAGATTGGCCGATGCATCCTGGGTTCATGGTTGAACGTTAGCCCTTAAAGATGAGGATATTTCAATTCCAGGCTATTGAGAAAAAGGGAAGATCTACAATTCAATGTATGAAATGATGTAACTTTAATATCAAAGTACAGCAAAGAGAGGAAGCTGCTGATCAATCTCATTTATTATAGATGTCAGAATTCTACATAAAATATTCCCAAATAAAATCCAGGAATATATTTTAAAATTCCACTACCTGTACAGACTGCTTCTTTTCTCTTGGAGCATGCCAAGTGAAACCCCCTGGACTGTTGTCATGGAGGTGGTATAATGAAAAGTGATTTGTCTTGGACGTGTTTTGGAGGTAGAATTGATAGCCCTGGGTATTAGAGGTGAGGGGGAAAGAGAGACTAAGGGATTGGTGCTTAGGTTTTTGGCTTGCACTATTACAGAGATGATGGTGTCACATATTGGGATGAGAAAGATTGGAAGGGAAAGAGTTTTAAGTTAAATTAAGTTCCATTTTGACATGATTAACATATGTATTAGACATCCAAGAGGCAGGAAGACATAGGAATCTGAATATTAGAGTTGGAGATAAAAATTTGTGAGTTAGACTTAAATGTAAGTCGTGAAACCATAAAAATCCTAGAAGAAACCCTAGGCAGCAAAATCTCAGACATCCCTCGTAGCAGTGTTTGCTGATACATCTCCTAGGGCAAGGGAAACAAAGGAAAAAAATTTAAAAATGGAACTTCGTTTTCGAAAACCAAGATGGCGGCATAGGTAAACACCGGAGATTGCTGCCTCGCACAACCACTTCAAAAATACAACTAAAAGACGGGACGGACATCACCCAGAACCACAGGAAGGCTGGCTGAGTGGAAATCCTACAACTAGAAGGAAATAGAAAAGCTTACCGAGACTCAGAGGAGGCGCAGTGCGGAAGTAAAATACTAAGGTGCGGAGGTGCATGCGGAGCAGGCTGGCGGCTGAGGGCGCGGTTGTTGTTTTCAATCGGGAGGGAGTCTCAGGCTCTGAGCTCCAGTTCCGGGCAAGACTCTAGGGACCCAGACTCATACGGGAGAAGTGGGACTGTCTGGCAGCGGTCGGAACTCGAGGGCAGCTTTCTCTCCGAGGGGCTTGCAGCGATTACCAGGACATTGAGAAGCAAAGCCTCTGAGGGCAGGACTGAGAGCAGCCATAACTGCTAGCGCCGCCCTGTTGATCCCATGGGACCCGCCCCGCCCAAGCCCTGCAGGGAGGCTTTTGCTGGATAGCCTCAGGCAAAGGCTAGATTAGCACCTCCCTAGAGATCCAGGAGCCAGGAAGCCCAGAGGTCAGAGTGGGACCATCCAGTTTGCAGCTC